TGTTTATAACGATACCGGCGTAGTCTATATAACGATACAGACGTAGTATCATAACGATACAGGGCAGTTTTTATAACGATACAGGTGTATTCTTTATAACGATACAGGCGTTGTCTGTATAACAATACAGACGCAGTCTTTATAATGATACAGGCGTTGTCTGTAGAACGATACATGGTAGTCTTTATAACGATACAGGCGTAGTCTTTATAACGATACAGGGCACTCTTTATTACGATACAGGGTAGTCTTTATAACGATACAGGGTAGTTTTTATAACGATACAGGTGTAGTCTGTATAACGATACAGGCATAGTCTGTATAACGATACAGGCGAAGTCTATATAACGATACAGGGTAGTCTTTATAACGATACAGGCGTTGTCTTTATAACGATACAGGCATTGTGTTTATAACGATACCGGCATAGTCTATATAACGATACAGACGTAGTATTATAATGATACAGGGCAGTCTTTATAACGATACATGTGTAGTCTTTATAACGATACAGACCTTGTATTTATAATGATACAGACGCAGTCTTTATAACGATACAGGCGTTGTCTGTATAACGATACATGGTAGTCTTTATAACGATACAGGCGTAGTCTATATAACGATACAGGCGTAGACTTTATAACGATACAGGGTAGTCTTTATAACGATACAGGCGTAGTCTATATAACGATACAGGCGTAGACTTTATAACGATACAGGGTAGTCTTTATAACGATACAGGCGTAGTCTATATAACGATACAGGCGTAGTCTATACAACGATACAGGCGTAGTCTATACAACGATACAGGTGTAGTCTATATGACGATACAGGCGTAGTCTTTATCACGATACAGACTCAATCTCTATAGAGATACGGACTTTGTTTGTTTATGGACTTAATTTATATACCAAGACAGAAAGATACAGGCCCGGCTTGTAGAAAGAAAACAAATTCTTCTTTATGTACGATTAGCAAATTAAATAGATAAATGAAAACAGAAGTCGCAGGTCAGACATTTTAATGATCAGTTCAGGATAATTGTTTGTCGTGATTTAAAATGAAGCTCTCAAAGTGACGCAATCGAAAATGTCTCGACCGATAAAGTCAAAGTTAGTGTTACGATACAGCCTTAGAAAATTATAGGAATTACAGCAAGCACTGGTTTTGTTTTTGTGTCTTGAATGTTGGTTATGTTCTTATTTCAAAACATCACGGCAAACTGAAAAGATGAAGATCAACGTTTTATTTTAATTGAAAAAGTTTATATAAAGCTGAAGAAGGACAAAGACATATCCAATGTAAGCAAGAAAGTTTTACTTTGTAATTTACAGCGGAACTGTTAAATACCTTTCGATCTGTTTTGTTAGTTAGTTAGTTAGTTAGTTAGTTAGTTAGTTAGTAAGTTAGTAAGTAAGTCAGTTAGTTAGTTAGTTAGTTAGTTAGTTATTTAGTTAGTTATTTAGTTAGTTTTAGTTAGTTAAGTTAGTTAAGTTAGTTAGTTAGTTAGTTAGTTAGTTAGTTAGTAAGTTAGTTAGTTAGTTAGTTAGTTAGTTAGTTAGTTAGTTAGTTAGTCAGTCAGTCAGTCAGTCAGTCAGTCAGTCAGTTAGTCAGTTAGTCAGTTAGTTAGTTAGTTAGTTAGTTAGTAAGTTAGTTAGTTAGTTAGTTAGTTAGTTAGTTAGTTAGTTAGTTAGTTAGTTAGTTAGTTAGTTAGTTAGTTAGTTAGTTAGTTAGTTAGTTAGTTAGTTAGCTAGTTTGTTTGTTAATTTGTTTGTTTGCAGATCAATTTCATAAAGAGTAATGAAATAGAGATTAAATGGACAGTGAATTAAAATGGAAACTGTAATTTGGCAAGGGTAATTACGTCATTACCATCAGACGTCAAAGAAAATGACATTGTTTTGTTTTGGTAGACGTCTGCATTTATCTTCTTTAAAACCACAAAGAAAATTTAAGGGAAAAAAAAGAAAGAAAGAATATTGATATATTCTGTCATACGACTGTAGTACATATATACTGAACATGATATTCAGTGGCAAATGCGTTCATTGCACCGGCGGAAGGTATATATCTCAGCCAACAGTATATTCTAGATTTAACATTTAAATGAGGTTTTATTACGGTCCGTAACAGACCCACCGACCGTCAGCTCTTCTGGTCCACTCAAGTACCGGTTACTGATATACAGGGCGTAGCTCACGTCTGTGACTGAGGATCAGGGAGATTAGGCAATGTCTCCTTGGAGGTTCGGTGTCGGAGAGTGATGTATCGAGATACAGTACAACAATCGGTACCAAGGCTTTGCCGGTACATTATATCGTGCCTTCGCATACAAGGCTTGACTCGGAGTTTCTCCTCAAAAGACAAAGAAAAACCTAAATGTATTTTACAGGACGATTTACACAAGGCACTACCAGACACCGGACTGTGAAGGAGTTTCTATACTTACTGTAAGCTGGCTTAGTCGTAATTTCACTCAAATCAGATACCGAAGAGCCAAAACTATAGATTAATTATATTCAGTAAAGTCCAATGACGTTGGTTTCAGTTTAAAAAACATTTTGGATTTAAACGTCTGTAACATTTTGCTGAACCTCAAATAGTTTTGCTATAAGAAAGATTGGATATAAAAACACTAAACTCGTTTTAATAGCGTTGTATGTAGCTTTCAGCATGAATGGTTCTGATATTTTGCACACCACTATTGTTAAATTTCACGAACGAGGTGAGATAACGTCTACCTGTAGTTACGTCATTAGAAGGAAGGGTTTCTTTGTGATCGGATCATTTTTCATAATCAGACATCCCTTTCGTGCGTCGAGCAACCTGTATGCGTTAAGGCTTCACTAATTACTGTAGCTAGTAATCGGTCAAACATACTCTATACGTCAAAGTTCTATGTTCGGACATAATTAAAGTCAGACTGACCCCTGACATTATAAATGATGATATGTTAGAGCAAACAGGGAGGGTATGTACCAGTAATTCCGGTTAAGTGCTTCAAAATTAGTCAAGCTGCTGGCGTTAATGATAATGTTTTAACAGGAGCGCGAAGGCATCATCGTCACCTCTTCGTACCAATTTGCTTTACTCATATGTCAGCAGGAAAGAATACATTGTTCACTAATTTTCCTAATTTCTTTGAAATTTTAATTAAATTTTGTTACTATATCGATATTTCAAAAATGTGTGGCTGTCTTTTATAATTATTTTGAAACTAAATTAGCCATCTAAAGCTTTAAATAGAAGGGAAGAGTTTGCATTCTGCGACGTAATAGCAATGCCACTACTTGTAGTACAAACCCTATTACAGGCTATTCTACCATATCCGCTTCCTCATCACATTTTTATTGAAGTAAGCATAACACATTTTTGGCGATAAGAACGCACCTCAAGTTTAATTTTTATAGATCTTATTAGAAAACTTTGCACTTTAGAGAAAGACAATTATCTGACGAGCATTCAACAAATACATGTGTATATTTATCATGACCCTATAGTTTCACAATAAAAAAAATATCAACGTCAAGCGCGTGCTGTTTTATAATCTATGAAATAAAGTTATTTGTGTACTTGTATCACGTATCCATGTTACATCGGAGTATTAAACAGGACAAATAATGTGTAGGATAACAGATTACACCGACATATCAATAATTACACGTATCTATATTGGAGTATATAACAGGACAAATAATGTGTAGGATAACAGATTACAACGACATATCAATAATTACACGTATCTATATTGGAGTATATAACAAGACTTGTAATTAGTATGATATGATGTAGATGTCACCGATATAGAGAATATACGGTCAGTGTGTTAAAACAAGCTGTGGCGAAGGTGAAGAGAGAGAAGAGGCGGGTCACTTTTGTCTTTCTGTCTCGCGCAAAAAGAACCATGTATTCTAATTATCCTGTAATATTGATTGAAAATCAAACTATCGAAACTTCAGTAGTTTTATTGTTCAAGCTCTGTTATCTGTCGTGACGTTACGCTTAAGTTTGCCTGGTAACGTGCGTCAAAATAATTGCTCCGCGTAGAAATGTGGTTCCAAAGCAGTTTCCGAATACAGCAAAAATACATGTGGCAGGTTGATTCCGACAATGACACTGGCAGTTGCAAGGATAAATATCATTTAGAAGTAATGTATTAAGTTTTGTAATAAACAATATAAAATTATACTTAAATTACAGTATAAATATCTATTAGTTTAATTCACTTTGTGTCAAACGATAGATATCTTTATATCGCGTTCAGTCTATAAAGTATGATATTATTTTATTTCTTTATGTATTAAGTGGCATCACTTCTATTTTGATGACCCGATATTAACAAACTGACACGCTGTGGAGAAGTTTTTTACCAGCACGGCTATAAGCAACAGTTCCTACCATGATTTGTCCTCCGTACTATTCTAGTCTATTGCCAATGTCCTCGCTGATAATACCATTCCGTTAAAATACAAAAAGGCGAACATTCTGAGATCTGAATATATTTGAATTATAACAAAATGACACGAGTAACCTTATAAATCATAATACCACGTACTGTTTCTGAGTGTGGGAGATACCTAAATATATGTTCGAGCTTTAAAAAACCGAGGTCTGTGATACAAATAATGTAAACTAGCCTTTAATTTACCGTAACGGAGAATCATCGTTATGGACATTAAACAAAATACAATCATATCAATTAATGTTCTGAGAAAACAACAAGTTGTTTTAGATTTAAATAAAATATATAATTTCTCTGATGTAGGCGCTGTGTCCTCTACCATTGTAGACCAATATCTTTCCTGCATTAACTACTGGCACGTTCTCATATAGAAGACAATCCTGCTTATTTCGTTCCATTTGTTAACACGAGAGGTAAACCGTTTGTTTGTCATTCAGTGAAGGGTGAAATGTGAACTAAAAACATACTTTGTACAATATTAATTGTAAACTTCTGAAGATAACTAAATAGATTGTTGAACTGTTCCTGTGTATTGCAGTTGTACCGGTACGAACTACGGGGCTTCGTGGAGGAAGACAAGACCTGCTGTAACGGCACGCTGGCGTTCGTCACCAACACGACGCACCTGCCGTGTTCCAATATGAGGTGCTGTGACCGGACTGAGATGGTCGCCGTTGTACCAGTGAACTATGCCCTTGGTTTCGGCTTCCGCTGCTTGGTAGGTATAAATATCAGTAACCAGAAAATTACTATCGTTTTTATAACAATAAGATTTATCATTATAGATTTTGTTAACCATATAACAATTCTTTTCAACAAGGTTTACAGTATAAGGTTTGAAAAAATAGGAAAATTTATTACATTATCTGTGTAAGGACTTATAACAAAACGTTGCTCGCGCACTTTGACCTTTTTATGAATACATATGTTTTCACAACCTAGCGTGTGTAAACGCCCTGCTAAGCACGTGATTAAACAAATCACAAAGCGGTCATTTTTTATTATCAACGATGTTTTTCCGTCCCTAGTTACATCATTCTGGTACCTGACCAGTTCAGAAGGCATTGACTGTTTTAGCTGTCCTCATCTACTCGAATTATAATTTTGACTGAAATGCTCTTTGCCATTTCCAATTCAATATTTGATTTTCATCTTCGGCATTTTAGTATTTCCGGTGAAAGACATTCAAAATAATACGAAAGGTCGAACATACGACTCGACATTTATTTGTTCCACGTAATAATTTGGTTTCCCAAGACTATTTTATTTTTCTGTCTGCTTTGAATTTATATTTTGTCGCGGTAGCTTTTTAAATCCTATTTATGTCTTGGGGATGGGAACCTATGGTCTTCAAAAAATGAAGTTTTCATGCTGTTTTGGAAATTGGTTTTGAAAATAGAATGAAGTTGCCCAGTCAATAAAATTTGCCGCCGAAAGTTTAGCTATTTTTGATGCAATTCCTGGCGTACGTCATTGTTTCTGACCTTTATCATTGTACCTACGTATAATGAATTGGATTTCCAGCGTTTGCAGAAGGTCACAATGACGATAGGGGACTGCATATTTGGTTGGGACTCAGAGTGGCTTATTTGCATAGTAAGCATATTCAACTACACTGTAAATAAAATTATTGATGCAAACGGGCAACTGAAATGACCAATAAGGTTTACCAGCTCTACCTCATTTCGATTCGGATTTGGCACCTCACTCAGTGACCGAGTATCCACGAGATTTATTAGTTATCCTTAAGAAAGCTTTGGATAAAGATTCCTGAAAACTTGTGATGGGTCTTCTGTTCTGTTTTTCTTGTTAATATTCCATTCTAGATATTCCAATGATTTTATTAATTTGTCTAAACATTCAATGATAGTCGTGTCTCTGTTTACAAGACGGGACATTAGATGCGAATACCCTTGTTACTTTCATCCTATTATTTGATATATTATAAAGGTTATCCCAAAATAGTTGATACCATTACAAAGATTTCCTCATCTTCCATGTATAATCTTATACAAATACAAACTAAAGGTGAATAATTTAATTGCTGGAACTGCCGTCATAACAAGCTAGTCATATCAAGTTTCAAGATGGCTCTTTCCAAAGAGCAGACAAAAAGAAAGTTTAAAAACTATATTTTCAAGCACAATCACCTATTACGGTTATCAGATTGATGCAGAAAGAATATATAGATGAGAAGAGGCTGAGTAAATTGCAGATCCTGGGAGTTGTGAAGAGATTTGAGAAAAGTCAACCAGTTCTAGACAATAGACATACCAATGCTGGTAGACTAAGGTCAATAGGACAGGAAGAAACACTAGAGCAGGTGCAGTAGATCGTTAAAGAGACGCCAGAGAGAAATCATCAAGAGGTGTTTAAGTGGTGTTATTTACACTGCTAGCCGCACAAGTGTACACAGAATTGAAAGAATGGATTTCCACTTAAGGCCATATAAAATTTCCGTACTTTAGGATCATAACCAACATGACATTAACATCGGGATGACGTTTGTCCTCAAGACAACGTAGACGTTATTGATAACATTTGGTTTTCTGGCGAATCCAATTTTTCTCCGTGTAATTGCAAGTAAGAGATATTGTCGTTACTTGGGTAAACCAAATTTGTATATGGGAAAGCCCCGTGCATGGAGAAAAGGTGACAGTGTTGGCTGCGATGAGCTTAATTAGGATTATTGGACCTTTTCAAGATAGGAATGTTTACACTGAAATAGCGAGCGATGCCTAAAAACTTTGAAAAAGAAATTCCTGTCATATTTGCATGTAAGAGTTATTCTTGAATGAGATACTTGAGTAATTCCCTCCTGGTTGGATGAAATAAGCTGTTGGTGACAAGCTGAATTCCTTTAAAACAGCTAACGTGTTACCTCATCACTCCCCAAACTTGAGCCCTCTTGAAATGTATTTATGGGGACATTATATATAATACACAGCCAAATTCTTTAGCGGAACTGAAGTTGACAATTAATCGTGATATTCGCTAGATTTCTGTGTAGACATGCGCTGCTGTTGTCAGGCACGTCGACATTTTCATGACGCAAAAAGAACATAATTTGGAACATATCCTATTAATGATCAACAATGAAGCTAAAGAAATTAAATTCCAACAAAGATCTCTTTTTTATTGTTATCTAACATAAAGGAAAAAGTATCAATAATTGAAATGTTTTCAGATATTGTGGAACATCCTGTATGTTATCCTCTCTCGACTATTTCGGGATGAAATCATAAATATGTTTCTTGTTGACCAGAACTTTGTCGAGTTTTGTGGTAAGATCTTCCAACAAATTACAAAGAACTAAATTTATTGAAGAACTTGTCAAAACAGGTCACAAAGACCAAGTCCAATCTGACTTTTATATATACACTGATGGCGTGTTGTTTTTATATAAAAGGAAATTTATTAGCCATTGCCGTCGTATATACCCACCAGAAATGGAAATCAAAGACTTGACAGACTCTTCTACATCAACTGCTAATCTCGATCTTTACCTACAACGAAACAAATATAGACAGCTTTTCACCAGGTCATATCATGAGTGATAGTGAATTTCTATTTCTGGGTAGTAACTTTCCCTCATCCCCCACCAATAGTGTTTACATGCCGCAGTTGATTCGATATTCAAGGGGCTGTTCTATTATCAAGATCTCATACGAAGAGTCATCAACTGACGTAAAACTCGTAACACAGAATTTCAAAAGAGGCAGGTTGATGAAAAACATGCGGAAGTTCTATGGTCGACATAGTGATCTCATTGTGAAATATTATATTTCTTATTGCGATATGAAACTGGACGTGTTTGGTACTCGTTAGTTTGCTTGTTGGTTCAGTTGATGTAAAGCTTAGATTGACTAAGATTTATATGGTGGATGTCGTCGATGAAGCAGAAGACGCTAACTTTTCCTGGACACGTGGTCTCATTCTCCTTGAACTTGTTTTAGTAGTTTCCATATGCATCTTTCTTTTGTTCGTATTTTGTCCTAGTTTTATTGAATTTGTGTTTGGATTATGCTGGTGTTGAAACCTGTTGGTATTTTTTCCTGTATGTAACGCACATGCCATACACAAACTAGGCAAGCACTCTGTGTGAAAGGTGGTTTTGCCTTCTAATTATGAATTCATAGAGAATGCCGCTATACATGTTGACTATTGTGTGAAATGAATTCCTGTTCTTTTTGAATCGCCTTCGTAAATATCTTAATATTTTTTCCCGAGATGTAGACGCGAGTAACCTAATGACGAGGACAGTTTTTCATCTTATGTGGGGAGGAGGATGATTAGGGAAAATCTTTTTAAGTGAGATATGTTTAAACTAAACCCAGGGGTGGACGATGAGGAGGTAAAATGTGGATCATACATATAGAGAAACCTACTAAGACTTCTGAGAACTGTAAATATACTAGCTTAAACGTCTTGATATCTATATATAACAGATACGTTGTTTTTTTTTATATACAAATGATAGATCATAATATTGTAAATGTATTGTCGTTCAGGTAATGTTGTTTGCTTGTTTTTATTTACATAGCTGAACTATTGAATAGATATTTTTATGAAATCGTTCGTATCCATTGTGGACAGTACAACATTCTCGGCACCCATAACGATCATGTGTATTTCTCCGCCAGTCATAATTGATTTTTTTTTGTACTCTGTTAAGCGTCATGTAGTTTCTTTATAGGTTGGAATAACTCATTTTCATTTTTTATATATTTGTTTTGTTGTCACGATTTTAATCGTAAATTGGAACATATATTTCAGTGGTTTATCACTGTTGGTGAGTTGCTAATAGAAATATTTATTGGCCCTCGTATTCAGCAATTCTGTAATCAGAAGTGCAACTGTGTTAGTGTTGTTTTGCATTGTTCATATACAAAGGCAATTTAGCTTCACCAAATTATATTTTGTTCGTACTTTACACTGGATCTCCTTAGAACAAATATGTCATCGTTCTGAAATCACTTTGTCAATTTAGTGGTATGTGATCTCTGACAGAAAAGGCCATCTATTCTATGCCATAGCTAATTTTATTTCGTACATAATCTTCCTCTCTGAAAACAGATGCTTAAAATGCTATAAAAATCTACCTGGTATTACGTTTTCATGAAGTAAATGTTGAACCTTAAATGTCTATATTCGTTTTATCATTTATCCACTAATCAAAAGCCAAACTAACGTTTCCTATATCATATCATGTCTTTGTTTTGAATATATATATATTTATACGTACACATGTCCTTATATTATAAGTGATATTTAGGCTGACTTATATTCTCGTCCCCTCTGTTCAATAGAGAGAAATAGGTTAGAAAATGTCGTTATGTCAAACAAGTTAATAGTGTGACATAAAATAGCACAATCCATTGCTGTTACTTCATTGCTTTAAGGAAATCCGCTAGGAACATCGGGTACATGTGACTACTAAGTTTTCATTAAACCGTCAGTCTGCTTTCAATATGATTTACAATTTAAACAACTGATTTTCCCCCAAACTAATATTCTCCTAATCATTGAGATGTGTACTTTTGGATCAGTATTAATCTAAATGAGATCATGGACACAAAGAAAAACCAATTAACTTCCAAGGACGTCTCATGGCAATTTATCCTGGTGTCGAGAGAATAAACGCTATGGCGTATCATTAATTATTTGTCCAAAGAATATTTGATGGAAAGCAAATGAAAATGTGTAGTTAAAAAGTAG